AGAGAGAAAGAATGAAACCAGTATGAAAAGGAACGGGAGGAACAAAAACATGCAAAGGTGAAAAGAAAACGACGAAAAAAAAAAAAAAAAAAAACGAGAAAAGGAAAGGGGAGACAATGAGGCACAAAAACATGCAAACTTGAAAAGAAAACGATAAAAAAAAATTAACACGAGAAAGCAGGCTGAAGTTGCTCATTCATCTACATGCCATTATACATCTACATGCCATTATACCATTCCAAATGAATCTTGATACATAGACTAATATCACAAAAATATACACTCGGTTTTGCCAAACTTCTTTGATTGTAACGATATACAGTATATTAATTAAATTTAATAATTGGTATTCAATTTAATAATTGTATTTAATGGCACTAACCAGCCATAATAACCAATACCGTAGTAATTAATTATTTATTAAACTATATCTCTAGGGGTAGCCCGTCCAGCAAAGATCACTATTGGGGCCCTCGGCAATAAAATGCAGTTACAAATCGATCATGTATTAGGCCTACTATAATTGTTATTATTCATTTTTATTTTTATTTATTCATGTAGCGTAGTCTCCCTTAGCTATATATCTTTATCAACATTATCATCATCATCATTATCATCACTGTCATCATCTTCATCCCCATCAATGTATAAATCATCGTAATAGACAACAGATACATTTTTACATAATCATTTTGTGCATATTAGGTTACGCGATGAAATATTTAAGATGCAAAGCGGCACACGTTCCATAAATTCCCAATAAATTCCTGTACGATGGTGCTGTATTATATCCGGCTTCATGTTTGCCAATCATAATACTGTTTTTGGACTACATCTTTTTAGTCTATAAATATAGTATAGGCCTATCCCTGTCGTCTTATCTTTTCCGCGAAATATCCCGGACGCAACAGTGTTAGTACCACGTTATTCAATGATTCCTACATTCTTATTGGCGAATGGTATGTAATGTGGCCTACGTTCTACAATTTACTATTTTTTTATTATTATTAATAAATTAATTATTTTTACTATTACACTATATTTATTTATTTTTGTTTTTGCAGAAGAATCGTTCTCATTCATGCCTTGGATTTGCATCATTAATTCATATTTAGGTTAATGTTGTCAGATATTCATTAGTAATTCAAAATCTATGTATTTGGTCTATTAAAACTGATTGCAGGTTAAAACATGTGTTTCATCACGACATCAATCGCACCTGCATTTTTGCGATAGCCTATAACATGTAAAACTACTCTATGACCAGTAACGTAACATCCTAATTTTGGATAGAGCATATAAGCTATCCATCGGAAATTAGAACACTTTAACCTGTCGGCAATTAACTGACACATAAAATTAATGATTCTCTGCACACACCGTTCTACCTACTAGTATCAATTAAAAGGTTTTAGTCGTAATAGTACATGCATTAAATTTATTTATTTATTTTTTTTTCCAAGCAATTGATTGTTTTGATCTATGTCTCATATTTAAAGTTTCATTTATTTACTTTTTAATTTAAAGCGTGTTTACAAAGGATACAATTTCAGACAAGATGTACAGTTTTTATCCAGAGGTTTTACTTAAAAAAACCATAATTTTACTGGTGTAGAGCCTACCGATGTTTAATGATTTTGTTAAAATAACTCTGTTTTTAGTTAATAATAATTATAATAAGTTAATAATAAGAAAGGTCGATAGTACAACCTTAAAAAAAAAAAATTACAGAAGGATTCAGCCTTAGACTTACATACCGTGCAAAAGTTCAATGCTCTGAATGGATATTTCAGATGTTTATATCAGATCAATTCAAGTACATCTTAGACATACCGGTAGCGTCCTATATACTGTGATTATGCTTGCTATTTCAAACTCTTTTCTGTGCTTGTAGCATTTGTCTGCATAGATGAAATTCAACTTCAAATAATCTTACATTTATTTATTGTATATAGACTCAACAATGTAAATATGATTACCCGGTTTGACGTAGGCCTATTCTTGTATCGTTTGTCTGAAGGATTCATTTTCAAATACTGTACTATAATATCTTATTTCGCGATCGTTGTTTTATCGCAAAAATCCTGAAGGGTGGCAATAATCTTCACAGTAAACTCCTATTTCCCTCACAGGCAGGTCCAGGTTAAAATGGGCTCTGGCAAACTCCCTATTTTCAGATAACCACCCCCCTCCTTTTTTTGTCAAGCAAACCTACCCAATAGCCTAAAACACTCAAAAACATCATTTCTTCTATACCTAGAGATGTTGTTTTTCCTCTTCCCGTCACACTGAAAATTGATTTTGTACGGTAATAACAAAATTATATTCTTTTAAAACTACAAGCTATAGCTCTGAACCCCATTTGGCTCTTCTAACGTCCTTTAACCCAAGGCTTAGAGCCACACCCCTCCCACCATTTTAATTTGTAGATGCTGGCTACGGTCCTGTTACATCGCGTAGAAATTAACAAAGTAAATACACGTGAATGATCATAGAAACAATGCACGCTAACAGACTCATAGGTAATTCAACTACGTATGATTTTAACAAATTTCTTATTCAGCTCTTCAAAAAAGATTTCCTATTTGGCAGGTGTCTTTTTTCTCTTTAATGTTATCTGCTGTTATCTACCATTGTAGTTTTATATCATCTACTAGCTATCAAAATATATTACAGTAACCTACATTGATGTTACCAAAAGAAATAAATCAATTTCTATTCAACCATTTATTTTTCATTACAAGCATCTTTTGAATAGAATCGAAGCCTAAGGTCGAAATATAGCGGTATAGCTTATAAAGTTCATGCTTCTTTTTTGCACTAAAGCGCAACACTATTTTTTTTTCTTTGTTAGGCCTAATACATATTTTTTGGTTAGTGGGAGTATAGTGCTTTAAAAAAGCTACATTGTCTGTTCCTTTTCTAGTTCATATATCTTCTTCACATTTACATGTCCCAACATAATGCTGACCAAACCTGGTAAATAAATATAGTTTAAAAAATCAAGAATACTGTATAATTAATACTATCGATAAACTACCTGTAGTATATTTAAGTGCTATGAAATTAATGCTTTTAATGCGCTCAGTGCGCGTCATTATCGTCGATGGCGCTGCTAAAAAGCGCAAGTTAGAGTTCCTATATAGAGAGCAGTGTGACCACTGCTTGGGTATTTACCCAAGATCTTGGGTATTTTGATTTGGTCTTGGGTTCTTGGGTATTCCGTTGAAATCCTTGGGTATTTTATTTTTACTAAGAAAATTAAATATTTTTGTCATGGAGGAAGGAATTAAGAAGTAACAAAGTATATTTCAGTCCATTCAAGTAAGGAAAACTCAACAAAGTGCACATAACATTGTTAATTGACTGTTAATTGCTATAAACATGGGTTCAGAATTGTTTATTTGTGATTTGCGTTGCCATTGATCTTAATGCATTACATAATGAAACTCGATCACTGATTACTGACAACACTGGTCGACAGAGGGCGTATTTTTCTATCCGTACTATCACCTCATGAATATTAATTTTAATAATTAACACAAACAATTACAATAAAAATGGTTTATAAATTGAACTAAAAGGGAAACTATACATGCGAAAAACACGGGTTTTTTTTTCAATTTTTAATGCATTTTCAGGAAGCTTGGGTAATTTTGGGCAATTTTTGCTGAATCTTGGGTAATTTCGACCCAGTCTTGGTACGGTAATTTAGTGAAGAAATGAATATATGTCCTAGGCAAGTGTATGGAATCTTTAGTTTGATTTTCTGCAAAAGCTCACTATGTGTAGTAATTGACCTACTTGATTTGGATAAAAGGTAAGCCCACTAAACACTAATTTCAACTGAAGAAAAAATGCATCCTAGTTTCTTAATCAGTCATAGATGTTACACTAAAGAGAAGAAAATAATGTAAACTATAATTAACGGTTCCTGAGTTATGTCAAAGAGAGGGTAGGTTGAGTCTAAACATACAGGTGGAATTTAGCCCTTTTTTCCTATTAATAATGTGGTCTGTCAAAAAGTTGTCAGATTGAAACTGACCAACCGTACCGGTGGCTATACGGCCCTGACAAAATAACATAGGCCTATCCAAAACAAGTCTATGTTTTATTAGGCCTATTGAAAAAAATGTAAACTTTTTACAAAATTCAGCCAAATTCGGCCGAATATAGTTTGGCCGTGACTTTTCAAACGTTACGGCCAGGCGAATTTTTATACGGCCAGATTTGAGGAATCTGGCCGTCAAAAAGGCCAAATGGCAACCCTGCCATTGACTTGATCAATGGGGCACCAAGATAGCGGATAGATAGAGGGCGGCCAGTAGTCACGTGACCTGAACCGCTCATGTCGCAACTCTCTCTATATAGGAACTCTAGCGCAAGCCAAGCTCAAATTCACTATATGATCTGTACTAGCTGGATTGCTCATTGACTGGTTTTAGCAAGGCCACTGCCACCATGTTAAGGAGCCCAAAACGTCACACATGATCACAGCGCATAACTTTTGAACGGGCGTGACGACCACCAAAAATGCGATTTTTTTTTGTAAACTGCAAGCGCGTTGAGTGGTTAGAGGATGCGGAAAAAAAATCATTTCGTTATATTTAAATTTAGTAACTGTTATTGTTGTGATGGGAAAGACAATAACCGGATTTGCGTCAGGAGAAACATGTATAGGTGTAATTTTTACACGTCAGGTAGGGGAAAAAATTACACCTATACATATTTAAATTTATTATTAAAAATTATTGCTAGAATCGATATTTTTAAAAATAATTTAAACAAATGCCAAAAGAAACTTATCCATACGTCACTTGGGATCATGCATAGGCCTATTTATTTTTTTCTGTACAGCCGATGAGCAATCTAGCTATTATTAGATCAGTAGCGCAAACTACTTGCGCAAAGAACTGGCTTTGGCGAAAAGCACTGGTGCAAAGTATTATTTTTTTTATTGTTACCGACTTTGATAACAACTTTTTTTTATCTTCCTTTAGATCAAAACTTCGAGTGAAAATAAAGTTTGTGGAAGATTGGTGCACCATTTAACATAGGCCTACCTTTCATGTGTTTTTTTTTCTGTTTGAGAACATTTGCGACCGACACATGAAAACTGCATTAAGAGCATCAACATGACTGTTACAGCCAGTCCCTCCATTATGACGTCGTTGTTTACGAACGTTGATGAAGATATAAATTCTCAGACGACAATTCAACCGGAAGTTCAGTTATCTACAGTTGAAAAAGTGATTGAAGTTACAATATTATGTATGATTTGCATAACTGCGTTGGTCGGTAACTCGTTACTATGGACTGTTATAATAAAAACACCTTCGTTACGCTCGACATCAAGCGCCCTCTTGTTATGTCTTAGTTTTGCAGATATCATGGTGTCTGTCATAAATATGCCTTTCACAATTTACGCAATCATTACCAGTGGATGGAATCTTGGTGAACTCTTGTGCAAAAGCCTTGGCTTTACTAATATGCTGACGTTCGTTGCGTCTGTGATGTCACTAGGAGCCATCAGTATTAATCGTTATGTCATCATTGTCAGGCAAAAGTATGCATCGATGGCGAGTAAAAAAAGTACAGGTATTTTAATTCTAGGTACGTACTTCATTTATTTCAAGAGCATAAAGGAGTACCATGTTTGAAATATACTGGCCAGGTTAAAAAGACGGCGTGGAATGAAACTGCCCACGTTACCACGCATGCTTAAGTCGGTCTCGCGATTTTGCTGCGTTTAAAATAAGGTGCGCTACGACACTTACGGTATGCCTACAATTTTGTTCAAAATTCTACGAAAATGTACGCTTCCATATTATGAATATCCGTGTTGTGTCGTATACATAATACCTCTTACACTTTGCTCCAACTCCCGCGCACCAGACGATTTTAGACTTAACGTGTTGTAGCGCAGCTTGTCCTGTGAGACCGGACTTAGTAAAATTGCTCTAGACTTGCCACATTAAGTCTCTTATTTTTTTGTTTATCATTCTGGACAGCGCCACCAACGAGAAAGTTAATTTAGAGACGGAATAAGCGACTTGTAAAACACACTGAATGCAGGCACCAGGATGCCAAAAGAATGACGTAATCTTATATTCCGTATTTGGATAAATGGGCGGACCGAAATAAACAATTTCAACCAATCAGATATTCATATTTTTGGAGCCACGAAACTGAGTCACTCCCGTGACCCGTCGACTAGTTAGGCATGATTAAAAATAGTCCTCCCTAATGAAACGGGCCTAAAATATTTAGAATAAACCGTAATAAGACTAATTTTGGCAATGGCAAAAACGATTAAGCTTAGACTAGATGGCATACCATTACAAATACAACAACACTTTCCAGGAGGATGGCTCAGGCCTCTGGAGTCAGAAGTAGTAGGTCTAGCCTAGTAGAGGCTTGGCCTATTTTTAAATTCATACTTACAGAGGCCTACCTTTTAACAATATTCTACCCTAAAGGCCTAAATCTGTGTAGCAGCTAGCGGTGAGCAAGGTTCTGTAAGTATATATCCTACTACGGTTATCAATCCATAGTCGTTCTCAGCAGGCCAGGACTATATAAACTGTTTTAATTCAAATAGGTAGGCAGAAGGGAGCTGGTTAGCTTGTCCTAGTCGGGACATCCGCATCTTCAATTTTGAAAATTTACCAAGATTAATTAATATGCATGAAGTAAGCCAATCACGTAATTTAAAAAATCAGTCATGCATACGATATCCCACATCGAATTTGATGTGGGAAATCGTAAACTAAACTCGGGCCGTCTCGGATTGATTCGACTCGAGTTTGATATACGAACAAGAGCAGGCACTTTGCAATGTCGTGACGCTCGAGTGTTCTATTACCTTTACTGTACTGTTCTTTATTTACCTACGGCAGGCCTATAAAATCTTACCGACTTATCTGTAACTAACTGTAGTGAGCTTCTTGTATGTTTGTTATCAAATGTACTACAACAACAACAGGTAGTACCCCCTTCTATAGTAGTACCAGTGGTAAATAGGTACACCTATCAAAGGCTAGAGCAAAAGAGGCTAAATAATGGGCCTAGTGGAACGGCCTAGTTCCAAGCTCAGGTCCTACCTGCTAGCCCCCCCCCCCCGCCAGACTAGGCCCTAGGTTCCTAGGCCTGGCACAACAGTCACGCTTCGCATGCCATTGACTGAAATTTTGAATAAAATTTAAAACATGAAATTATAATGGGACAGTGAGTAAAAAAATATTAAATATAATAAATTAAATATATCACTCAGGCAATAATGAACTTGGCCTAAGCCTTGTAATGTAATTAATATTAAATAATAATAACAATAATAATAATATTAAAAACAATACTATTAATAACAATAATAATATTTATAAATAACCATATATAATTTCGCCATTAATTAACTTAGCCTAAGCCTTGTAATCAAGAAGCACCCACAGTAATACTATTATTAGGCCTATAGTCCAAACTCCCTGCCTTGTTAGTAATCTAGGCGGAAGCAGGTCAACTCGGCCCCAGTCATCTCAGCCCCAAGTCAACACGGCCCCAAGTCAACACGGCCCCATGTCAACCAACCCCAAGTCAACTTGGCCCCAAGTATATATTGTTACTATTATTAGTTATTCTATATACCTTTGTATAATTTTTATTATTATCATTTTAATATTATTTTTATTATTGCAGTTTTAATTATTGTAAGTGCATGTAAATGAAACGAAGTAACAAAGGCAACGATTTAAAAACACTTTAATTTTGGCTTTGCATTCAAATCTCTTGGTAAATATTCAATAAATACAGTACACAGTAAATTGGGGCCGAGTTGACTTGGACTTGGGCCCGAGTTGACTCGAATTCGTCATTACATAGGTTAAACAATTATCCAAAACCGCGGCCAACTAAAAAATAAAAATGTTCACAGTATGTAACTCAAATTCAAATAGGGTGTTTAGGGCCTCACACTTTTTATTATTCGTGCAGCGAAATAAAATAATACATATTATGTCATTTTAAACGACCCATTATGATATTATAATGGCAATGTGTTTTTTTTTTTTCAAAACCAGAAAGCGAGCAGCAGTCCTGTATCTCAGAAGTTTTGTAGACGTTATTCTTTGGTTGATGACCTTTTGACCTCCAGAATTGCAATTTTCTAGTCGAGTTTCATGCAAAATGTTTCGTACGAAAAAAAAAATCGCGCCCAGGCCCTAATCCGAAAAAAAAAAAGAAATCGAATATGGGACGCCAATTAAATTAGGTTTGGTGCGCACTAAGTGCAATAAAGAGTGAGTAACCCAAAATTAGGGCCTGGAACCCAGGCTACTCATTCCCCTACGTTCAGTAATGAATACGGGACAACCTTCACCTTTCCAATATTCATTTATTATTTAATTACATAATTGATAAATAAATCGGATTATTCATTGTTAGGTATATACCATTTTCTGAGAAACATTTAAACGTTGGACACTATATCAAACCCATAGCGAAGGGGTAGGGGGTGAAAGGGGACATTACCCCTGTTAAATTATTGCACCCCCACCCCCTTGATCAAAATGATAATTGAGTATGGACAAAAATAACAAATGAACAGCAAATATTTGTTTCTTTAATTTTTTATAGGTGGTATAGGCCTATGCCTAATACAACCTCGGCTATATACATATTCACTTTCGTGAGTGATCATTCTGGCCCCAAAACCTAGACTAGGAAATACTGTAACCGGAATGTTGTTCGAGGATAGTTTTTACTACTAGGAGTTATTGTGTATAGTCAACTGCTCTTTTTTATATTCATGGGAAGTTATAATATACTGTAGATATTTCATGAATATTTGCTGTATCAGATAAAATATTCTGATCCTCAAGATATGTGGCCGGGATAATCAGTCTCTACAGAACCAGCGCTCATTAATTTCAAGATTTTCATTTAATGTGGTAAAAGATTGTAGAAATGTTTTCATAATTTAAAAATGGTTGTGTATTAGAATACTGTCACTGTAAGACCCTTTAGAAACCAATAGACCGAATCGGCGGCCCGGGTCACGTGACTTATGTATTAGGGTTTGTTACGTTTACATCTTTTAGTACAAGAAAGTTAGCATAAAATTTAGTGAAAGTTTGAAAAAAATTGCAACAGAATTTATTTTACCACAGTGCATTTCTATAAGGTCCCTATTTGAACATATTAAAAAGTCTAGAAAAATCCAGGTAGGGGAAATATGTAGAAATGCGTTTTATTCAAAATGGCCGACAAAATAGATAAAAATATGAGAAAAAACCGTAATGTCATCATAATATGTCATATTTATAATTAAACTTGTAATTTTTTAGATCGCCACTAAGGTTTTTAATATTTAGCAACCAATGTATGTATACTTTATAGAATAATATTAATATCTTATAAAAGCGGCCGCCATCTTGGATTTTAAAATGGCCACCATATATAACAAATATTTATCTATATCTCCGCTTCTAAACCACTTTAAATTATAATTCTGATGTCCAAATTTTGTTTTTATGGGCAAGAAATAATATCCTACAATTTTTGACAGCGTCAGATTGTCATAAATTGGTTATTTAGGGTCATTTAAGGTCATTCAAGGTCATTACAGGTAAAATATTGTATGACATCTTAAACACGGAGGCCTACAGTAACTGTCGTGTTTTACATCAGAAACATACTCAACCTCTTAGAATTCAGTTTTTTGATAGGAACTACACTATTTTATTCAAGGTCACTCTGGCGGCCATATTGGATTTCAAAATGGCTGCCATGGATAAAAAATGTTAATATCTCAGCTTTTAAAACATTTCAAATTTCAATCCTGATGCCTAAAATTACGTTTTAATGATCAAAGATTTACCATTTGTGACATGTTATGATAGATACATATGGTCATAAATTGGTCAATTAAGGTCAATCAAGGTCATTTTATGTTTAATATTTTGTGATATTCTCTCGGTAGCAGTCATGTTTTAATGTAAATATTATACTTAAGCTCACTGAATTTGATTATTTTGATAAGAAGTCATTATGGCAGCCATTTTAAAATCATTCAATTTCATTAAGTTATTTAGCAGCCATTTTGAATTTCTAGATAACCACCATGTAAAGCCTACATTAATGTTAAGAATGTTTATGTTTTATGTGTACTGTACATAGTAAACAATACCTTTGTATAATTTCTGACATGATCAGGAGATTATAGTCATAAATAGGTCATTTAAGGTCATTCAATTATGTATAAGGCAAAAATATTGCATTCTTTCCTTGGCTTTGTTGCTTGGTGAATTATACCGACCACCATAAGCACACTGTTATTATATAGGAAAATATTTTTAAAAATATCTTATATACTAGCTGAAAAAGCAATTATAACAGTTCCTCATCTACAGTATATATATATATTTATATATATATATATATATATATATATATATATATATAAAGACAATAAATGGAATCTTGAAATTGAAACTCGAAAAGGTTCATTATTAACATGTCATACAATATCTGACCTGAAACGTAATTAAATGACATTAACTAACCTATTTTTTATGACTATAATAATCATCTGACCATGTCACAACTGGTAAAGTCAATATTTGATTATGTAAACATATGTGTTTTTATGGCTCTAATTTGGCTGCAAAATCCCCTTGACCTAAAATGGACATCATAACGACTTCTGATATGGTATTTAACCTAAAATGACCTTGAATGACCTTAACTGACCTATATATTATCCTAATGACCATCTGACTTTGTCACAGATGGTATATTTTCTTGACAATAAAACATAGTTTTAAACATAAGTATTCTAATTTTAAGTGATTCTAAAAGCTAAGATATTAATAAAATAGTTTTTGCATGGCAGCCATTTTGTAATTAAAGATGGCTGCCAAAATGACCTTGAATGAAGTAATGTAGTTTCTTGTAAAAAATGAATTTCGAGAGCTTTAGTATGATTCAGATGTAAAACATAACAGGTAATTATTAAGATGCCATACAATATTTGACCAGGAATGACCTTGAATGACCTTAAATCAATGACTTTAAATGAACAATCTGCTCAGATTATTAATTTAATGACCTTAAATTATAATTACCTTAAATGAACAATCTTATCAGGTCAAAAATGGCATGCTAGTATTCCTTAACCATTTAGACACTAGAATTATAATTCCAAGTTAGAAGAGGAGATAGTACCATGAAGATACATAGGTTTTATAAGGTGGCCATATTTAAATCTAAGATGGCTGCCATAATGACCTCCGATAAAATGGTTTCTATCAAAAATCGAATGCTATGACCATAAGGAGAGTGTAAAAAGTTGTTGCATTTGTCCAAAAACGTCCATATGGCACTAATAGCTGCCTGGTGGTATATTATACATACACCACTTAATATGTCGTCGTATTTGTGGCAGCCATCTTGAAATTAATTATACCCACATAAAATAAGTGTACCTGTATGCATCAGAACAATTTTAGGATTTGTAAATATATTTTAGGAAAAAAAATGCTGAAATATGTTGAAAATATCCAAGTTTTTTCAATTTTTCGTTAAAACTAGCCATTTTGAAAGAAACGCACTTCCCCTATGTGGATTTTTCTAGACTTTCAGTATGTTCATACAGAGACCTTAAGAAAACGCACTGTGCAAACAGAAATTCTGTTGCAATTTTTTCAACCCTAAGATTATTTTTCTTGTACTATTTCGAGATCGCGAGACGATAGTGCATCGAATATGCCTTCGCCTTGTTGTAAGTCAAAAATCATAGATATTGCAAATGTTAGTTGGAATGCGAGTTATAATTTGTAAATCACTTAGAAGAGTTCCAAAATTAAATTTTTAAACACTTATCAGTTAAGGCTCCAATTTACAGTGGGAATAAAGCCTTTTTCAAGGAAATGTACCTTCACGACGTGCATAGTGCTCCAGTGGAGTCGTCGCCGGCTGAAGTACTTTTTAGGCCTAGGCCTAAGTAAAGAATATTCATGGCAAATGCTATCGCAGCATGAAAAAAAAAAACGAATCTACCAATTCGCTGCAAGAGTATTATTTTACAGTTATTTTAAATCCAAAATTAAATCATAGGATGTTTGGTAGTTACTGCCGAAGATAATGATCATCATATGACATTTTTAATATTATTACGTAGGCCTACTGGCATTAGATGTACCATGCCACCAGGCCTATTATCACCAGCCTGCTGTTTCACAAGTTTGGTTGAGCAATCAGTACCGTTAAGGGTTATTTTCTACTTTATTACCTACAGTACTCGACTACAGAGATAGTCGAGGCATAACAACTCCATCCTTGCATGCTCCGAGCCCTGCTACAAAAATATTTCAAATCTAAAACAGTGCTATAGCAGGACATTTAGAGTTTGCACTGCACCCATGATTGTTTTCATCTTAGCCCAGCCTCAACCGTGTAATATTAAAGTCTGAGAATACTATTTTCGGCATTTTAAAACTACTCCATCCTGATTTTTTCACCTTTACCCCAAGACATGGTGGGGCTGAGGTTATTGTTGACACGCCTGGTACTCACACCCGTCACTCACCCCTCCTTATTTTCCCTCAAAATGCACAAAAACTTATTTTATCTAATTATAAATTGAATGACATAATATCAAATGTAGACAATTAATAAGAGTCTGAGTGTGATATTCAAGTTCAGCTCCAACCGTAGTGGGGCACTGAGGTGGGTGTGGCCCTTCTAGTGCTCCCCCCCCCCCAGAAAATTTTAATTCCCCCCTGAATCAACGAGTCAAGCTACGGAGCTACAATATACTGTTTTAGTAGATGTATGACGTGATCAAAGCCTTGTCTTTCAAATAAAAACACTTATGATGGATCTTTTTTTGTCTTATAGGTGTTTGGTTGCTGTCTGCGTTGTTAGCGTCGTTACCTCTTCTAGGCTGGAGCGAATATGCTTTCATTGCCAACCAGTCGTTTTGCTTCTGTAGGTGGACCGTAGAGGAATCGTACGCCTATTTTATGATAAGCATGTGTTTTGGAGGGCCATGTTCCATTATGCTTTTCTGTTATTGGAATATTCTTAGAGAAGTGAAACGCAGCAGACGACGCGTGTGTTCACGCGGTCCGAGTATGATCGAAGGTGTTGATCGAGAAGTATCACTCCGCCGTTTTCGCCGACTGTTCAGTGTGAAACGGCGAGATAGCCAACTTTCAAGTATATCTGAAATTAAAGAAAATATCGTGTATTCAATCGCTGACGCGGTTCCCATGAGAAAACTGTCGGAGGAAAGCGATGAAAATCACACAGAAAATAACACCGAACAAAAGAAAATGGACCATGCAATTATTGTCACTTCATGCAGTGACTATCAGCTCTCCGAGAGAAGAAAATCAGACCCAACGCCGAATAAACTACAGGTTACGTACGACATCCGAGAGGCTAACAGTGACGATGGACCATCAACGCGGTCGCCGAAGAGAGAGAAATCCGAACCGGGGAATCGTACATCGCCATGGAAACGCCAAAGCTCAACCGTATCTATTGGAATGCAGAAAAACAGTCTTCGCAGGCGCAGGGAAGGAGAGACAAAACTAGCAGTTACTTTTCTAATTGTCGTCTTTATGTTTATTGTCTGCTGGTTGCCATTTTGTGTAACCATGATTTGGAATGTGTACGACAAAGAAAAAGGAGGAAAAGGAGGACCCCCGAGAGCGTTGGACGTAGCAACACTAATTTTGGGATACTTCAACAGTTGCTGTAACCCTATCATATATGGAATTAGAAATAAAAAATTTCGAGACGCGTATAAGTCTATTTTTCAGTTTAGAAAGAAATCATTTACAAGCGAGTTGAATTTCAAACTAAAAAATGGACGAACTCCGCAAACGTACTTTAAACAATGATGGGTATCGATTGGTTTACATTGCTAATTAAGAAAAAAATTCTTTTAAACAGAATAATAATAATAATTATTATTATTGATATTATTATTATTTTATTATTATTATTACTATTATTATTA